CAACAATTTTACATTGAAAGCTCGCATTTAGTGAAATACAGAAATTTAACATCGTATGGCCATTAACTACAGGAATGACATAATTAAATAATTATGGTTTCAGGATAAAGGGTTTTGTATTGTTTTAACTGTGTGTAATGTTATAACTCTAAATCAAGAAATCGTATGTGTTTCATTTGTTTCTCTGAAATCTGCTGTCTAAGCTTGGATTTTCAATATATGATCGGTCAAATCAAGCTAATTAACGTAAGCAAATTATTTAAAATTCAGTTAATTAAATAGTATATTTTCTTGAGAAAATTTTGTCAAACCTATATTTTGAGAATGTAAAAGCCGCTTCTCTCTTTTAAAGCACGCCGTGTATGTTTCGTTATCCGAATGTATGCAATCCACGAGAAATTTTATTATGTCGGATGCAGTTCCTTCGTGTATTGCGATCGGGTTGCTGGTAACGAAATTGATGAATACGTCGCAACTGGCGAAAATCACAACGAAAAGGAACGTTCGCGGATCCATCGTGAAACCTTTAACGAATCGTTAGACATACTGCTATGCGAAGTCCTTTTATACATATTCCATGCATCGACGTACAGTCAGTGTAAAAAGTATTCGTACATTGCATTTCCGATTTTTGACAAATTGTCGATATTTGAACTGTTGAAATATCGTGAAAACGTGTAATACAACGAGCCTGGACTTATTTTGAAGCTTTCGCTCGTGTTATTCATCGTTCATTTTTCTGTAACATGTTTTTGCATAATGTAAGAGCTAGGAAACAGAAAACATCGTGGTCTTTACACAAAATTTTGCGGATTCAAACATTTGTGAATGTACTGGAAAATTGTTTTCATGATCCTGACGTAGATTTCAAGATTAAAGCCTCCCCTTTACAATGACCCTTTAAACATTGATGTACAATTTTTGTTTAGTCAGAGTAACACAAGGTTCACGAAGGGTCCACACGATCGAATTTATTCTTCGTTTTTGTTTCATAAAACGTCTAAAAAATGTCGTACACCAAGTTTCGCGAGGTCATTGTACAAGGAAATCTTCAATCTTCAAATCCGTGAACGATTTCTTAGGGAAAATATTTTTCAATCGTTTTGAAGACGTTTCAATTCATATCATTTTCTAGTAAGCTTATGTCTTCAATCTTGTGGTTGCCATGAGTTGTAAGACCACTGTAGAGAGAAGTGATCGATGAATTGTAAAAGTAGAGACTACAAGCCTTAAAATAAATCTAAATTTATTTATACTCTTTCTCACCAGATGATAACAGTTCAAATATCGACAATTTGTGGAAACCTGAAATTCGGTGTACGAATACATTTTACACTGACTGTATATAAAAATCGGCAACTGAAAGTATTTCCGTCTTATTTCATGATAAAAGAGGAATCGTACTCTAGAGTTCTAGGCAAATAATAATTAGGTTCATGGACTCGATAAATTAACAATCTTTTACGTACGTCACCCTTTTAGAAGCAAACTCTGAATATGGAAATGTGTACAAATGCTTAAGTACAACCCCTTGCAAAAAGTATTCGATCGTCGTTTAACATGAAATAATTTTTTTTAAACTTCAATCTTTTCTTATGTTAAAGGAACTGGATACAATGTAATGCAATGACTAGCAAACTTCTTTTTAATTCTGCTATTACATAAAATGATAGCAAAAGATAAAAATCACTCGTTTTTTAACTTTTTTATCTGACCCTGGAACGAAAATTTAAAAAATGCGTTTTGTTTGCGTTGACGCATAGTCAAAGCTACAGCCACTGAAAGGTGTAAAAATTACCTGCTTTTTGTTGAAATTCATGAAGAAGTGTTGTTTTCATGAACTTTAAATTTTTTGATCTTCTTTTTTTTCAATTTTCGTTCTAAACTCAGCTAAAAAAGTTGAAAAGACATCGATGAATGCCCATATTTGAAAACAATTTCTCAGCTACTGTCTAGTAAAGTAATCCCTCGAACATCTCAGAAAAGTTGAGATCGGTTGGCCCAATTATCAAAAAGTTACTCGTTTTTAAAAGATGTTTGAATACTTTCTACACCGACTGTATGTTCGTATAATTATTTCGAAAAATTTTGATGAACGGATTATGCTTATCTCACTGTTCACAAATAGAGCTCAATATCTGCTTGAACTTTGTATTCTGTAAACATTTTCTGTTAGTCTTGCATATTTGGAGAACAGTATTATTTCAACCTCTGGCTAATTAAAAATGAAAAATTTCGCATATAATGACATGACTGAGATGCATTTGTGTTATGGGATTGCTTAGTGCGATGGCGCCGAGGCAAGACGTCTCTATGCAGAGCGTTTTCCTTGAAGGTGTTTACCTAATAAAATAATATTTCAGAGGATACATGATACAGAAAATAAGTTCCAACTCTAGCCGCAAACGAAGATCGGTAAATTTAGAAGAGAGAGAATTCATAATCGCATCGAAAGAAATAACAAAGTTAGCCTCCGAAAAATAGCAGCAGAAGAAAATGTTTGCATACGACTGTATGGAGACGATTGAGGAAGCAGCAGTTGTATTTATATTATCCGCAGCGATTATCCAGAGATTATTACAGAGATTATCCATCTGGGATCTCCGTCAGAATTTGTTTGTCCAATTCTTTGGAAAGTAGGTATACTTCGGGACAAAAAGATAGCACAATATAAAATTAACATAATTTTTATTTATTTAACATTACAACCAAGGTTTTGTTTCTACACGATCTTGCAAAATACCACTGTAAATATACACAAATGAAATAGAATTGCATTTCGCCAGTCTAAACAATTTTATGTAAAAAAAGAATTTTTATGGAAACACAGTGGGACAAAATGATAGCACATTTAACTATAAATCATGTATAACAATAAATCAAGGAATAATGCTTAATATATTGTAGCTCCTCCTTTACAATTATTAACAGTCATCATTATCTTTGGCAAATACTTATAGAGTTTTTTTAAATTGTTTTTCGCTCTAATTGCTCCCACTCATCTTGAATACATTTTTTTTCATTCGGCGATGTTTTGGAATTGTCTGCCATTTGCATATATAGCTCGGTTAAGATTTCCGCAACAATTTTTAACGATATAACCTTACTGGCCAATCCAGACGCGATATTATTTTCTCCAGAAAAGTACATACTCTTTTACTACTTTCGCAGTTTGTGCTGCAGCATTATCCTGCTGAAAAATACAGGGTGTACATGAAAGTATGTACAAGCAAGTATCCTCATGGAGATTCCTCATAAAGAAACATGAACAAAATATAGAATAACCTTTTTTTATTTAAACTTAGTTTTCGAGAACATCGAGTTTGAAAATTTGCTAAGATACAGTTAAGATACAGCCGAAAATTAACTGTAAAATGCGCTAGTAGGGCTGTACCTACAGGCTCATGGACGGCAAAGGGATGATTTAACCATTTGCACAATAACAACAAGTTCAACACTTTCCGGTGATGAAGGTTGCATACATAATTTACCTAATATGGATATTATTAGCTTCTTCTGAATCGAAACAGAATTTGATTCGCCTGATATTACAATCTATGAATAAAAGTAAATGAAATTTAAAAGAAGCAAAAACTGCCCCGCTGGACCAGGGAATTATTAAGGACGAAGAATTGCTGATCAATGTAGCTGTGCAAGAAACCGTAGTGCGCGAGGTTAAGCGGTTATCTAGAAAACTGAGGACGTCAACGCGAGTCTCATGGTATCAATCATTATCGATTCTTGAAATATTGTTTGCAACATTTCTTATCTCAAGGCTCTTGGATGAATTAGGGCATCTAAACTGCGTGAAACGAGGACATACCCCATTAAAAAGAATACGATATGAACATTTTTATAGGTAATGATTATTGCATCGCAATATCGTAGTTCATTTCTTCTTTCTATCGCATCAGCTAAAAACAATCTTTGATGCGTTTAACATGACTTTCTTGTTTTGACATCGCAAAAAATTTCTTCTTATAATATAATGGATATGGATTAGGGTAGTTCTCAGCTATAGGGATTAACAATTTCTTCTGCAATTTTATTGATCTCACTTCCTTCAATCGTGACACTTTGCAAGGAAATGATGTGTGCAGCATTTGAAAGCATTGTCACGGAAACCCATGACGTAGATTCGTGTAATATTTAAAAGCTTTAAAAGTTTTTATGCTTCATTTGATTTACAAACATAATAGTAGTTCGTTATTTTGGAAATATTGTTTAATATTTTTACTGAACGTCGATGCCTTCGATGAACAATGATGACACGTATTTTTTTGTATCGACTACCGCGCATGTTGAAAGGGTAAGGTAAAACTTTTCCTTGGAGGTTTCTATTTTCTTTTACTTTCCAGTGTATATTCCAATGGATTTTGTCGTGGAAAGTCCAAAAGTCGAAATCTTGAATCAAGAAATGTAATTAAAATAAGTCCCGAATTCACGTGTTGAAAAGTTATGCGCGTTCAAAGTTGACGAATTTTAAGAAATGAAGACCGAATTCATCGATCGGATGGCAGAACGTATGGTACATAAACTATACAGGGTATCTCAGATCAAAACCGACAAATTTTGCTAACATGTTCGGGAGATCGTTCTGAACAAAAAACATTATGCATGTGAGATTTGAAAGTAAGACAGGGGTAGGATGAGAGAGAGAGAGAGAGAGAGAGAGAGAGAGAGAGAGAGAAAGAGAGAGAGAGAGAGAGATAGTGGTCATCTGCTATTTTTAATGCGGGATGAAAGGTGAGCTAATTGCAATGTCGATTTGTGGTCTTCCCGGGAAAGATAATGCGAAGGGCTCCATGATGGGAAGGTACTGATAAGAGGGCCCTCTTTGACAGGCAATGTGGCACTGATGATCGAGAGATGTGGTCGTTTCTGCGAAACGATTAGGTTCTTTTAACACTATACCTACCGCGGTCAAAATAACCGTTCTCTTATTTTGCAGTTCTGCAAACTGTAGAGACTCTTTCGTGAAAAATGCTTGAATAAATTACATTATTGGAGCAAGTTTTATAATAAAAACTTTACAAAATCTAAATAAATTCGATCTTCTCGCTCGTATGAAGCAATGCACTCCAGGTACTATCACAGCTTGGTAGGTTTAGTGTTAAAGTTGTTATAAGTTGCCGTAAAATGTCATAAGTTGTCATTATTAGATTGTCCATGTAGGTTTGTTTTAATCAGTTTTATTTAACTTGCTTTTATTTTCGTTGATAGATATATATATTAGGTTCTATAAATCTACGAATATATGTCAGTTTCTTATAGCAGGATTACAAATATTGGATACACAATTTAGGTATGATCCTCCCGTGATGACTGGCACCATCTGAATAGGAGCAAGCCGAATCGGTTCTATTATTTGTTGCATTCCACCGTACTATAATAAATAAGGAACATATTATTATAGGTACTGATAAATATTAATCTACGGAATGTTAAACAATTCTTTATATTTATCGCATGTTTATTTAATGTAGATCGGTCATTTTTAAATTACGGATATTTTAAACTACGGTGATCTCCGGATTTAGTCAGAGTTCCGCAAATCGAATAGAATATTTATTTAATTTCATTATAAGAAACACAATAATCATGTCGTGCAATCCCAATCAATTACTAGCAATTCACATTCATGCAAGCATAAACAATAAATATTCAAATATGTGAAGAATCAAGACTGATAATGGACAAAGTGGTTTCAAATTTCCATTATTTCACGATACAGTCAAGGCATCACGTGTTATGAAAGTATAGTGAAAGACTTTTTGTAGCCTTTGTGTGCATGAAAATAAATAGAAATAAATGAATATAATATATAATATAAATAGAAATAAATGAAAATAAATAAATGTCAAACTACATAATATTACATTACAAATACACTTGCCAAACATTAAAGCGAATGTTTCAAATCTAGTGACAACGTAATAGCATCCTCCTCTTCCCATAGAAAACAGTAGTAAACATTTTTGTTACTGTTCTTAGAGATTTAATAGAGGGCATAACCAGATAAAATGGTCGAATGAGCCTTCTAAACAAATTGACTTTTGTTTAGATCTTTCGATAGGCCACTATCCACCAACTAATAAATATAGGTACTTATTTAAATAATAAGATAAAGAAAATTAGGCATAGAAATCTCTTATGATCGTCCTCGACCTCACTCTCAGATTTTAATTACAAATTGTTATTGATAACATGCTTATTAATGCAAAATAACTAACGGTGTTTCTTTAGGACATATTAAATTGGATATTTAAAACGAGAAGGAGGAATATATTTGTTAAAAAAGCATTGGATAGTCCACGCATTTCCTTACCGTAACATCTTACTAGTTAGAAGATTCATAAAATTGTTCATAATTTTCCATTTATAGAACAGAAGAAATAGTAAATAATCTGTTAATCCGAATTCCTTACCCTCGTGGTGGGAGTAAGGACTTAAAAATTGTCCGAAAGGGTTTTCGATCACTGCTCTATCGAATGATATAAACAAAAGCCAATTTTATTAGGAGGCTCATTTCGACGTCTTATCCAGTTATGCCTTTTACTATCCATAACAATGCTGCAATTATGCTGTAACAGTGTCGCTTTTGTTGCTGTTAATAATGCTGGCATTTGCGATCTTTGTAAACTAAATTAACTGGGAGTACACAAAAACAAGTACACCAACTAAACATCAATTTTTTCAATGTTGAAAATTAGCGATTTTTTAAATAAATTAAGGTTTCAAAAAGCTCAGTATATGCAAAGAAAAGGTCAAACTTTGTTGGATACTTTCATGGAAAGGTGTTTAACATGTAGATAAAATTATGATAAGGTATTCAAACTTACTGGTACGCAGGGCCATTGAGTCTGATATTGGCATATTTGATATGTGGGGCGACAGTAGCATGGCTGCCAAGTAACAAAATAGCATGGACATTGTGGTTTATCTAATTAACAGAAAATTGTTACCCCAGAATATTGAGCACATTATATTTGGTTTACAAACTGCTTCGTTTTAAGAACTTGAAAAAAGACGTATTACTTACCAGGCAATGCAGAACTGGTGTTGAGGTGATTATGAATGTGGATATGAGTAGTATAATTGACTGTCACTGGTTTATTTTGCTCAGGTTTAACCTTAGTACAATTCTCGTGATTACATGGTATTTCAATTTCGGTATCAGTAATATTAATTTGACGATGCGTTACTTTTTTTAAACAATGTTTACAATTATTTTCACAGACTAGGGGCACTTGTCTGGTCCTCCTTCTACAATCCTCTATACATGGCTTCATGCAGCTATGATCTTAACAAGATATACACAGATTTCAATGTTCGCAATATGTTATGCCTTGTCTCTACTTAATTCATAAAGTATAGAATTCGTTTCAATTGTGATGTAGCTAAATCATAATTGAATAGAAACACCGTAACAGAAACAATCTCATGTCTATCTGTTAGATCGATTTTATGTCGTATTATAATGTTCACATTTAGCAAAATTCAAAAGCTTAACATCGTATGATTCGTTAACTACAACAGTGACAATAAAATCACTGAGACAACAATGACAAATAAAAAATTACGGTTTCAGGGCAATTTGGATGTTTGAATTGTTATAACTTTCTATCTAAATAAAAAATTACGGTTTCAGGGAAATTTGGATGTTTGAATTGTTATAACTTTCTTTCTAAATATGTAATAATTTCTTTCCATGTTATAAACATTCGCTCTGAAAATAATCACTAATCTAACGTATAAGAGATATTTAGTATGCAACAATCGTTGCTATTCTCTCTCTCTCTCTCTCGGTTGTTCAAACATTAATTATTGATCGAGAAACGAAAGAAACTACAATATTCACACTACTATCTTAGTGTTACCTTTCATATGTGTATTTGTACGCAATGTATTTGTATGCAACTAACAAGATCTGCCAATATTAAAGTCAAACGATAGAATCAAGAAGTCGTACGCATTTCACTTATTTCTTCGAAATCTGCTATCTAATTGCAAGCTGAACGTTGATTTGTCTACCTTGGCTTTTCAATATATTATCAGTCAAATTAACATATTAAAAATTATTTATAATTGAATATTTCCTTGAATATATTCGGTCAAACCTATATTATGAGAATACAAGTTCCGCTTCTCTCTTTTATAGCACGCCATGTACGTTTCATTGTTCGAATGCTTGCAATCCAGGAGAATTTTTATTATGTCGGATGAAATTTCTTCAGGTATTGCGATTGGATTGGTGATAACGATGTTGATGAATATGCCGAAACCGACGAAAATCACAACGAAAATGAACGTTCGCGGATCCATCGTGGAACGTTTAACGAAACAACAGACCCATTGCCACGCGAAAGCCTTTTTATACTGATTCCATGCAACGACGTATATAAAAATCAGTAACTGAAGTGTTTCGGAGTTATTTCATGATAAGAAAGCCATCGTCCTCTACAGTATTAGATAAATAATAATTTGGTGCGTGGCCACGATAAATTGAAAATCTTTTACACGCGTCGCTCTGTTAGAAGCAAATTCTGCATATATTCTGCTTTAGATTATGTATGCGGTGTATCTCGTTCAACTCTATATGCTAAAATATCTTAGGGTATGAATGATAATATTTCCTTAAAATAAATGCAGGTGATCGTGCAACACCAATCACATTTCAAACAGGCATTGAATTTGTACACAAGTATGATGTAACAGTAATTTTTAGAACAATTTATACAGTAATTAAGAGTTCAAATTGAAAAACCGCTAATAAACAGTTGCCACAGACATACCCGATTCGGGTTTACAGAACAGAAGTATAATGACTTACAATGATTAAAATTACAGAAAAACGTCAACCGTCAAATATTAATTTTCAAAATACGTACATGATGTAGCCAAGCCCAAATTTTCATACATGAACAATTTTTGAACTTATATATGTTCGTGAAAATATAAATTTTAAAGTAATATATCCAATTACTAAATTTCTGAGAACGGAATGTACCGTAATTCTCGAACGGCTGAATATTACTGCCCCTTACCATTTACCATAGAATATTTCATTAGAAAGTGATTCATAAATTATTGAAAACAAACGTAGTTTTGTCTGCGATATTCAGAATCTTCGTTCGAATTTGCCACATAAGTTTTATTTTTTAATTTTAGCTACAGAGATTACCCATGCGAAATGATCGTCGGAATTTGTTTGTCCAATTCTTTGAAAGTTAGTTACACCAACTGCGGCTGTGCACAGGGTAATGCTAAACCTTATCTTGCCACAATTTCAATAATTTTCAATGCACATTCTGAAAATTTCTTGCCAACAATTATTATCGTCAACTATTGCGCTGACAATTAACTCTAGAATGTATTAGACGGAAATGTATTAGACGGGAATGGAGAGAGAGATGATAGACGGGTGTTTTAACCCCTTGCACTATAGCAACGAGTTAGTCCTGTGGTGAAGATTTACCAAATGAGCCGTTTATTTTGAAAGTGGCATAAGACACTTTGTTTTGAAGTCGAGATATTTAAGGGTTTGCGTTTTAACACGTTTCAAAATATGGATGCTAACTTTCGAGAAGATTTACTTGTATTTGTTATCTCAGGATACTGATATTTTTCTCAGTATAAATAATTTCGTATAAACATGAAAAAATCACCACTTTTCATTATACGGTAAAGTGACTTATGACACTTTCAAAATAAACGGCTCAAACATGGATATTATTAGCTTCTTCTGAATTGAAATAGAATTTGATTCGTATGATAGTACAATCTATGAATGAAAATAAATGAAACATACAAGAAGCAAACACTGCCTCGCTCGATCAGGGAATTATTAAGGATGAAGAAGTGCTAATCAACGTATCTGTGAAAGAAAACATAGGGAATTAAAGCGATTGTCTAGAAAGTTGAGGACGTCGACACAAGTACCATGATGTCAATCATTATCGATTCGATGAAATATTGTTTGCAACGTTCCTTATCTCGAGGCACATTTGGATGTGTTAGATCATCTTAACTGCGTGAAACGAGGACATACCCCATTAAAAAGAATACGATATGAACACTTTTATAGGTAATGATTGCATTGCAATGGCATAGTTTACACTCCACTAGTATACATATATCTATATTCATATAGTCTATATCTATTAAATGGACTCCTATCGCGTACAGCATGTATTATGAGAGATCAATTCGTGTGAATCGAATGATAGAGTTATTAACGTAGTGATAAATTGACCTCATTTGATTACATATCGGTTCGGTATATTTAACAAATACTCAGAAGAATTTGTCGTATAGCTACGATTTTACATTAGTGTATGTAAAATAGAAAGCTGGTTTAAGCTATTATGCTACAAACAAAAGTATTTCTTTTTCCTTTCTATCGTATCAGCTGGAAACATTTTTCGACGCATTTTACATAATTGTCCTGTTTAACATCGTGAATAATTTATTAATATAATGCAATGGGTATGGGTTAGGATGGCCCTTAGCTGTGGGGACCCAAAGATTTTCTTTGAGAACTTCTCGTTGATCTCACTCACTTAAATTATGACACTTGGTGTGAAAATGATGTGTGCAAAATTTGTAGATTCGTTAAAGTTTAAACGTTTTAATGATTTCATGTCATTTTTAAACATAATCGTATTTCGTTATTTTATAAATATTATTAAATGGTTTTGGCGAAAAGATCGGCTTTATGTGTTGCCTCCACAGATGTATACAAAATCTTTTTCGATTTATCATTAATTAAAGTGTACGACGCAGAATCTGGCAAGGGGGAAAATACCGAATTTGGACACACCGATTTTACTAAAAGGGTCTAACCGAATAAGACGGTCAAAATTTCCCTTATGCAAATTGTCAACCTCGTCACTTGCCCAGGAATGCAGCGTAACGTCATGAATGGTTACGAATGAAAGTGCTAAGTGCAGAGATAAAAGTACCAATAACGGAATTGTGAATTTATTTTGAATTGGAAACACATATAGCGTAGAATGGAGTCAATGGCTGACGTCAGAAAAGTGATCTCTGATAAACTAAGTCGGATTGGGGAATATTTTCTAATTTCTCGAGAGTACTTATACATACAGTGGCCCACAAAAGAGTTCGTACACCTTTCAAAAAGCAATGACTTTTTTAAAATAGGACTAAGTGCCTTGAATTTTTTTAGATGATAGAAGGACTAGTCTACTAGACGATGATTAAAACGCCTTTTTTAAATTTTGCTATTACTTGCAATGACAAAAAAAAATAAACTCTCGTTTTTTAATTTCTTTATCTGAGGCTATAACAAAAATTTTTAAAATGTCTTTCGTGGAAGGGGTTCCCGTTTTTCTATTGCTTTCGAATTTTGCACACATCATATTCTGAACAAGTGTCATAATTTAGGGAGATATGACCAGAAAAATCAAAAAACTATAATTTGGATTCACGCTGGCTAGTGCAACGAACGTCGAGATAGAACATGGAAGGGGTGTTCGCAGATTAATAGGGATAGATAGGGAAAAAGGCGAAAATGATTCTCTCACAGTCGAATACATGCACCAATCTCGCGAACTAATTCGCTAGCAATAGCAATATAGAGTAAACAGTGTCGCAGTAGACCCACTCTGGTCTTCATCGAGAGTGCGAAGTTGCGACATTTTTCGTCGTACAATCGTAAAGTGCGATGTCGTTTTGTGAGGTGTTTTGAGTTTTTGTTTGTTGCAATTATTAAAGCTTAATGGCAAAAGACTCAATTCGCACGTTCAACTGGACAATCATTAATTAACTCCTAATTCCGATACTAAACAATTACAAATTCTGCTCTGGTATTATGTTTCTGTAATTTGTAATGTGAACTTTAATTTACATATGGCTTAGCTTCGCAAAGTTTGAATATAAATAAGGTAAATGAATCAGTTGGTGATCGTCTATTCTTCTTTTCCAAGAATAAAATAACACAACATACTTTTTATGAGTAAATCGTATGATTCCGGACTAATATCGTAATACTTAAATAACACTTATTCGGCGAGTAATTTCTATTTCTTCCAATATTGATTTTCATGCGTAAGATCAATTTTCAAACCGATATTCTAAATCAAAGATTTGTATCATACATACAGTAAATTCTCTCCTATTGTCTCAAATTTTACCAAATAGTATCTGTCGAGATGTTGCAAATGTATTTTCGGTTTTCCAAATAGATAACCAAAAAAAAATCTAAATTATTTTTGCAACAACTTAATATCACAAAATTAAAATCCGCACAAATATTGCATGTAATGCTCTTTTTGCAATGTCAGCACTATAAAGCTTACAAAATTAACGTTATAAATATCCATCTGCAAGACAAAATGTATCAGACATTTAAATGTTCGCCCGGTATACACTCATTGCCTCCAAATAATAGTAGAAATGAAATATACAGAATATTCACTTCTTGCTAATGTGTCTAGTTTTCGCGAACCATCGGTAACACTGAGCGTGACACGAAATGGTAAGGCAGCTCTAGAGTCCGTCAAAACTAGGACAAAAAGCCTGTGGATTAGCTTCCAAGTTTCATGTGAGTCTAAATAGATTTATTATAAAGTATGATCTCCTAGTTTTCATTTTAACATTTTTGTAGAAATATAATCTAAAATCAATTTGGAGTAACTCTTCAAAATCCATTAATTTTTATCCGATCTATCAATCGGAAATATGTACATCAATTTTTCGTCTTGATTTCGAATTTTTCTATAAACCTAAACAAATCCATCACAAACTGCGATATTCCAGCTATCGTTTGCGCTCCCAAAACTTAAAAAGTTCTCCCAGAAATCCCTTGAAAATCAATTCAAACTATTCTGAAAAACCCCAAACTCATAGAAACCATAAGATGTCGCTGCTGCTTCCTAAATCAAACTCCCTAGCAACGAGATAAAGGTAGAGGACACAATTGCCGACAAAGTGAGAGAAAACATGGGTTTACGGGAAAGGGAAAGATTCAGTGTAGTGCGCGAATATCAGTCTTCATAAAAATTATACAAATATTTGGTAAAAGTATACCGTTTTGCCATCAGAATTCATGATATCGATAATATAGAACAAAAAATTTGACAGGTTTAGTTACACTGGTGGTTATAAGGTGGCACCTAAGTAGAAGGACTGTCAACATGGAATCGGAGGTAGATACAAACTTGGATTGTGGTTAAAATAATTGAATTTATAAATTCAGTTTTACAAGGTAATATAAAATAGAACCACTCCTTCCTCTACAATTATCGTCATTTTTGTTTTAAATATCCGCAAACATAAATCGAAAGGGTCATTCCATGCGAAATCGGACACATTTTGAAACATAAGTATAAGTAATTTATATGAAAATACATCAGTTCAATTTAATTTTCGTCATCAATAGGAGTGATTAAGTCCTCGGAAATCGTGTTTTGTTTCAAATTTTTAAAATAACTGTGGTATATTGGGGGTATATAATTAAGCAAGTCCATCATGTTTTTGTATTTTGCTGAAGAAACAGGACGAGATCCAGCGTATATAACATATAATATAATTTACAAAACTGCACTATTCTTTCGCACTTATAAAAATAAGTCCAGTGATCACAACTTTTTTAAAAATACTGAAAATAATTCAAAACAATACTTCACACACACTTATCACACGTTTCTATTTCTTTTACACTAAGCCCCGCAATTAATTTCCTGAGTATAGCGATTTATGCCACTTTCAAAATAAACGGCTCATA